GTTGCAACGATGAAGCAGGGTGGCGGGCGCGTTGTCCTCAAGATGCTTGCGCTCGGCTTCCTTGGCTCGCGTCTCGTCGGTGTTACCCGCGCACCATCTGCATTCTCGAACGTGATCGTACGCATGAGCGCATGCACTGGCAGACGGACTCACGTACGGATGGACGGACGGATGTTTGGCCCTACTCATCATCATTCACTCCGTGAATATGCTGTGATTTTTTTATTACTTCCGCGAGCGAAGCAATTTTGGCATTAGTTTCTCGTGCATGGCTTCTAAACATCAACGTGATAATAAAGCATGGCATATGCGTGTTTCTGTACGCACTGTGTTCCCTTTTTTGGGCTGCTTTATTTTTCCTAACTAAACTCACCCGGGTATTTGTTTTAGCCAAGTAATAATAAACCATCGATTCCATGAATCTATGCACATTTGACGTGACTTTGACGCCCAGTGGGCTGACGAAAACGTCAGGGTTTCGTCCTTTCTTTGTTATTCTGCGTATTTTCCACAAAGCACAGCAGAATAGACAAATAGCCAAGTTTCGCGATGAGACAAATAAATATTGGAGGCATAAGTGTATACGATACAGTAGGCTGAAACTTTACAGAGAAGCCTGTCAAACAGATGACGCGAAACATACTGGCGGGGCTTCTTTCATACACTTTAATTTACTCAATCGAGACTTATGCAGCTTGGCCTACGCGAACATTCATACAATTTTTTTTTTAAGCAGGAACGCTCTTTGACCGTTTAAAATCACTGCGGGTGCTAGCCGCTGCTTTTCACGAATGGCTGATACTGAAAATTGTGCCAACCGGCAACGGTTGCATGGATCATATAATGCTAATGCAAACTGACGTGACATGTAGTGGGAGATGAAGTCCGTGAGCATGGGCGGGAGCTCTGACGCAAACGCGCAGTCATTTCATGACCTTTATACGATTGCGATTAAAGGAAAGAAGTGCATATATATGGGCTCGTTTTTCTCCGTTAGACACAATAATTATGAGATATAATAGACAATCATACGAAGGAAAGGGGGAGACGTAATTACAGGGAATTGTAATTTACATTTACATTACAATTACTTCTAAAATTTCTGTTATATATCATCATTATTGATACTACTAAGGTGTTTCTCATGTCGTCATCAATATTTCACCATAAGCTATATATACTTTTGTGGCATGCGTATTCGTGTGTGCCTATCCCCTCTCCCTCCCCCAAGCGACATGGTTATCGTCAGCACCCCACGCAGCCCTTTTGTAATTCTAGCGTGCATTTTTTGTGGTATCTCTTCTAACACTCAATATATATATATATATACCACGTTAGGGAACTTTCCAGAAGACTTACCTGTTTTTTGCGCTAATTTAATACGTCCTTCCTTTAAAACTTGGGTATCAGTTGGAGAATTATCAGTGAGATGGGTAATGTTACGGTTACAGCAAATCACAAGGAATTTAAAAAACGAGCTGGCGCGTAGCATGTTGGGAAGGCCGTTCCAGCCCCACTGACCTGAAACCGGGAGTGGGGTGAAGTGTACAGTGTGCGCCGGTGTTTCCCACGGCAATATCGCTGTCAATTAAATACGGAAAAGGATGAGGAATGCGTAGTGATGGTGTTGATGATTACGAATAAGAAGGAAAAGGAGGAGGGCTCACTGAGGGAATTTACCACATTGTTTTGAGAGAGATTTCCTTGATGATGCACTGCTGGCCTGAAACCTGACGCGTAGGGGTCGAACCAGGCTGCTTCAGCTCTCCTATAACGTCGTTGGAAAACTGCGTCGCAATACCGTTTACCCGAATTATTTCGTTATTACGCTTATTCAAATCGATCAACAGTGATCGACGCTTCTTATTGGCAATTTTAGCATGTTAAATTTGTTTCTCGTGCACCCAGCACTTTCAAATAGTTAATACGGCCATTTAATGTTCAGAATCAATTTGAAGTGTCTCGTTTCCGCAACACAACGATTTTTGACATATACTTTTTTGTGAACCAATGTGTTGATGAAAAAATTCCGCCATATCCACGAAGTGAATGATGATGAGTGGGCGAAGCTCCGGAGGTAAACCTGGTAAACCATGAATCCTCTGTACATTTTGCCCACTCGATTTTATTACATCGCTCCCCCTAGCGTACGTCGCCGCACTAAATCGAACGATTGCCTTCAAGCAATGACACGCGCCATATGTGACATCATTCCTATTTTATAAGATTTCGCGTCTTTCATCAACTACAAGTACCGCTTTCTAGTTTATAACATCTTGCATCTTTTCATCATCAGCTACAAGTACCACCATCTAGTAAACACTACAAGAACTAAACGAGAGGTGGCTACATACAGGAGACGGTACCGCCATCTAGTGAACACTGCAAGAACTAAACTAGAGGTGGCTACATACAGGGGACGGTACCGCCATCTAGTGAACACTGCAAGAACTAAACTAGAGATGGCTACATACAGGCTACAGGGGACGCACAGCCCACGCCCTAAGGAGCTTCGCCCCTAAAAAAATGCACAAGGGTGGTGAAATTGACAGAAGTGCGTGCCCCTCGTGGTAGTGCTACAATAATATCAAAGTTCTGCAATTAAAAGAACCTTAACTTGCAAGTGAAATATCAAATTAGGGTGTCAGTTTCGCAATCTGACCGTAATATTTGCCAGAAATATATGCCAGCTATTCTACAGAGAGCTGTTGCTAGGAGTTAGGCAACACTTATTCTCCAAAAAATTTTTGCGAAAATCCACCACATGTATAAAGTGCGGAGGTAGCTTTCGGACCCAGTTTCCAGCAGCTTTGGTTTCGCTTGTATCGTTATATAAGGCACAGGGTCGCATCTAGTGTCCTTAGTCGCTCCTATAGCGCCGTCGTCACGTGCGCATGGATGCAAACCTGCGCTGCAAAAACACGCGCCGCTCAAAACTGTCTTTAAACCACATCTGAAGTGAGTGAGGTTGAGCTTAGTGTCCGAGTATGAAAGTACTTCAGCTTCAGGTTATATGACGACGATGTTTTTTCGTCAGCCTGAGACATCCGCAGCAGTGCTCTTCATGGACTTGTTTTGTTTAGAGCATCAAGTTATCTCCTCCACCACAAGTGCGTAGCTGCTGACTTTTGTGCACAGTCTTAGAGCTATTCTGGTCACGTGCGAGGTCTACATGCAAGCCGCTCGGGCACGGTGTGCTGGTGCTTGCTGCAGACTCTCTCCTCATGAAAAGAAGCCCACCAGAGCCCATCTTGGCACTGACTACGGAGCAATGCGAAACGTTTTAGAACTGAGTGCAATATTGTGGTTTTTTTTTTTCATACGATGTGCGAAAATCCTAAGAAATATGCTTGAATGCATATATTAGAACGCTAACCTATGCGGAGTGAACTGGCTCATGGATAGAGGTGACGCTAAAAAAAATAGCGAAGTTTTTTGAACATCTGATTTTTTAGAGAGATTATTCACATCACGCGCATTCATCTATAGTGAAACACCTGCAAAGCGAAAAAAAAAACAAGAAAAGTGTACGAGTTCACTCGTTTCTCACAAAAAATCCAAGCAGTGCTTCACCACACGGCATGAGCAATGAAGCGGCACCTACGTTTCGATTTTTTGTGTCTATGTGAATAGAAACATTTGGTACAGAAATTATAGTTTTTATAATAATCCTGGGTCATTTATCTTCATAATGCATATTCTAAATTTTCTTTGTTCTTAATATTTTTGCAAATCTAGTGTTTTTATGGCACTGTTTACCAGCCAGCAACTGAAAATTTTACACTTTTCACATTTTTATTCATACCAAAATATTTTTGTTACTCGAGACCTACTAATTTTTTTCGAAAGAGCGTTTCATTGTGGAACATTTGGTATGCTACAATGGGTGCTGACGTGCTTTTCAAACTGGCACTAGCTATTTTCCCGAGACATATGAAAAATGGCCATTTTGGCGCGGTAACGAAAGAGCTAACGTGGTGCTTCTTCTTCCTTGCCTTCCGTCTTCGGAGGTTTCAGTTCACTACGGCATGTAGGGAAGAGTGTTATAAGCTCTAGTAATGTCGTCGGCTTTTTGTTGGGCTAACTAGTCTTCTTTATTTTATTTTTTTTTTGGTGATGTGGTCGTCAGTATAACGTATCAAAACTTTGCAGATATGTTTGAAAAAGCAGTGTTTCAAATAGACTTAGCGTTAATGTCGTGTTATTGTGTCTAATTTTAGACAGGGAATTTGAGTGCCTTGGTAAATTTTGGGGGGGGGGGGGGGGGCGAATCTGACACCGCTGGTAAGTCAAACAATATTTTAGGCAGTGTAAATGATGTCGAGTTGTGGGGTTTAGCCAACTTAAGTGCCACATACCAATTTAGGCTGGACCGTGACGGTGACGTCCCACACCAACAAGCCGAGAAACTGAGGTGCTTCGCCCATAAAATCCGAGAGGGCCAAACTGATGTCATCAATACAGTTGCGCTTCATTGCGTTTTGTGCACCAGATTCAACATCTGTATAGCCCGCGTCATAAGCTTTCTTCGCTCATACAATAACGCCCATTAGATCTGCATCCCTTCTTTTATCCTTCTTTACCGTTGAAGTCACGCAGCCATTTTCTACATGAGACATTACCTACCAGCTTTACCCTCGGCCCCCTTCGTAATAATATTTACAGCTACGCTGTGCGCCCCCGTTGAAAAGACATGTAAAGGCGTTTTTCAGCGCCTCAGGGCCGTGCATTCCCAGAGACACCGCGAAACTGAAAAATCGAACCAATCCCTGAAACTCTGCCCTCTAGCGCAAAGGACTGAAGAGTAAGAAGAGCGCGAGAAAGCAGCAGCGAGGAAGGCAGTCCGCAGGAGACAAACGTTCAGGAGCTGTAAAAAAAAACGGTTCAATCAAAATTGCGGAAGTTACGCTTGAACCACGTGGCCCTTGCGCGGCGCATTGCGTCACATCCGCCCAGACCGGCTTTCTTTCTTCCCTTCTCGCGAGCGCCCGCTGCGCCCACTCGCGTCGGCCAAGCCTCCTCTCCCAGAGGTCTCCGTGTCGCTGTGTGCGGAGCGCGCAGTCGTCTCTCCCTTCGGCGAACGGAAACGCCCGGGGAGTAGTCTCTTCTTGGACACGGGAATTTTTCTACACGGCGTGCCCCCAACAACAGCAGCCGTTGCCACCGAAGCGCGTTTTCCACACTGCTTTTGTGCGTGTGCGCCTTTATGGTGAGCCGCCACTGCCTGTGATCGAAAACAGTCGCCCCACTGGATGCGATCATGAAGTGTGCTGCCCCAGTGCTCTTCGCTGCTCTTTGCGTCTTCGGAGTCACCGCCGCGCTCAAAGGTATGCTGGCCCCCCTTTGGTGGACGGCTTCTGTCGTTACCCGAACCCCCTTCCCTCCCAATGTTCGTGAATGTTTTACGGGCCTGTGTGGTTCTGGTGTGTCGTGTACGGGCACTGCTGGTGCAGCTGGGTTTCCATGTTTGTCGTATTTGGAGCAGTACGTGTGCGCGACTACGACTACGGGTCTTCTCCTATGCGGCTCTGGTATTCTGTACTGCGCCAGCTTGTTCTCTAGACGCATCACGTCGGCCATCGCGTCGCGGCTGGGCTGCTAATACCCGCAAAGCTGCTTCGAGTGGGGGCCGCTCCAAAACTCCTGGGTGGTTCGCCGATTTGCCAGAGGTGCCTCTCCGAGCCGCCGCCGCTGCCACTGCTAGGCCTAACGCTCAGCGAGCAGGGCATCATCTCGGCGCGGCGCGCTTCGATCCTTATTTTCGCTGACGATGCCGCGGCTCCATAGAAGGAGAAAAGCGCACTTCCTGCTTGCATTTGCTGTTACGTTTTCATGCACTGGACCTGCGGACGTCTGTGGTCGCAGCGGTGGGAGTTTGAGCGCGCAGATGTTTGTTTACTGCAGAGCTTACCTGGCCGCATGCAAACATTGCGACAAGCGCGGGTTACAGCGGGAGCTTGTTACAGTGAGCGTCGAGCAAGCTTCGAGGTTGCCATTGGCAACGCTATTTGGCTCGCCCGTCGCTCGGCGAGCTGTGTCCCCAGTAGGACTTATTTCTCTTACCGGCCTCCTAATGTCATCGCGCGGCGATTGTTTACACATGGCCTACTTGCAAGGTGGTTGACTTTATAATCGCACAATAGTCGCCTAGTTTGTTTCTTGAACGACATAATCGCAGTGATATTCAGGGGGCTTTTTAACCCGGTAATGAACTATATCATTTGGACGCATTTTTAGGAAAGTTCTCAGCTCTGCGATTTCTTAACCTTTATGCAGTAAATATAGAATGTTAAGCCCAATCAATTAGTCGCTTCTCTACACGCAACATTTTAATAATCTGAGAACGGTAAGTCAGTCAGTCTTCGATGAGGTGGCAAACTTGGGCAAGATTTCGTTAATCCGAGAATTTCGTGGAAGGCGTTGCTCTATCAAACTGCTCTGGTTTCCGAGGGTGGTTTGACTGCCGTTGCGAGTTTGTGCTTGTGATATGAGCCGTGCCTAAGGAGACTCACTACCAACTGTACTTGATCACAACCCAAGAAAAAAAAGATGTCCGGTTCGCCGACAATCTTCAGTCTCTCCCAAAATTGGAGTTTGCATAAACGCTCTGTACTGTGCGTTTAGAGAAAGGTGTAGACGATTTAGAGTACACAGTACTCTACTATGGGAGCATAAAATCGTCCCGTGTGCCTCTCAAAGCGCTTGATGAGGCCGTGGCCACTAGAACTACGCCGTGATAAAGTGTGTTTAGAAAATGTTGTTAACGATTTAGAGCACGAGGTACTGTACTATGGGAGAGCATAAAGCCGTGCCATGGGCTTCAAACCGTGCCGTACTTCATGACATCACACTTCTAAAATGTTCAAGCGGTTAATCGTCGTTACCATAAACCTCATCATGCAGATCCACCTATGTGTGGCTGTTTTTTTCGGTCAGAAACTTGAAAATTCTGGTAAATTTCTTCAGCGAGTCTTACATCGCTGCTCAACCGAACGCAATGGTTTGGGAAGTAACGACGAACCTTTAACTCTTAGTACGCCTAGTATTAACAATAGCGGAGAAAAAGTTCCCACAGTTCTTTCAAAAATTTATCTGGCACGGCTGTCTTTTACAGGGGATTGGGAGGCGTGCCGCGATTCAGTGGACGGGATTACATATTTAGGTGTGAAGGTCCCTGTGACCGTACCTTGTCTTTCGTTGTGGTCGCAGTATAAAACCGTTGCTGCGTTTGTGTGTGTGCATATGTGACACACACACACAACAACAACAACAACAGAGTTTTACAGTAGACTTTAACGTAGACATAGACTAAATGTAAGGTAAGAGATCGTTGCTTCCAGCGAAAATAACCTATCGAAATGATTATTGATCAGTTTTTGATAAAAATCTATTTAGATGTTGAGGTTTCTCAAGAAAATCTGTATCACTAATGCATACGTCGAGCTCTGTATGTCCCAACGAATTACCAATATTCAAATTGTCACTTGCTACTAGTAAGGTGGCAGGTTCTCTCTCGGTTTCGAGGTATGTGCTTCAGTTCAGATATTTTCTAAATCCTCATTGAGATGCCCGCTGGAAGGAAAAACAAATTTACATTTCCATACGCACTTTGTCGCTCAATTTACATTATATGAGGCAACGCTCGGTACACAGACGGTTACTCACCGATATGAAACGTATAGCTTTGCCCACTCGTCATAATACACTTCGTGGAGATGCTTGGCTTTTTTTTTTTTTCTACGAGTACGCAACGAAGAACCCCCAGTTTCACGCAACTAAACCGGATCCTCAGCGTCAGATTATATCTGTCTCACACTGACTCGATACTGTTTTTACTGTGGTAGTTTTCTGGTTCTTTTAGTGCGGTGCATTTCTCGAGCCTTCGCGCCGTATTTGGGTCAGAATCGTCACCATGGGTTGATAAAAAAGCAAGCTGCCGGACGCCGCCGCGTGTGACCCGGTCAGCAGCTTCTGCTGCTGCTACCGTCTAACGCCGCCGAAACGATCATCATTAAGCGAGCTAACCCGGGGTATATACTCAGAACGGGAGCGGGGAAAAACAAAAACAACAAGAAACGCGCTAATAATCGCGAAGTCAGCCCCGTTTCGGCGGCGAGCTCAAAAGCGAGTCGCCCGCCTTCGTCGTCCAGCTTCACTGGCGGATTTCTGCTGACCAAGCCACATTCGTTCGCCCGTGTTGCAAGAACGGTCGAGCCGTGTGCATGCTCTCTGTAACAGCGCAATTATCGTAGGATTCCAATCTACCGCCTCTTCTCCCAACTCCACCATTAGCCGATTCGTTTTCGTCGGATGCCGCACCGAGGCGACCCCTGGCCATATTACAGGTTTACTCTGACCTGCTCTTTGTAGTTACGGGTGAGGAGTATCGTGCTTGCTTGCGTGTGCGTGAGTGTGCTTGTTCCGAAGACGGCTGTTCAAGAGCGATGAGCGGACCAATGCTGTGCACGCGATCTTGTGATAATGTCTATCGCGCAGTTATTACGAAGCTGACGCGTTTATTGGCTCAATGACTTGATGGTTATCTTCGTCGACTCCCGTAGATTACGTGTTGGAAAAATTTGCGCATGCTGCTGATCGAAGTACTTCTTTTTGGCTTACGCGGTTACTCTGCTAGTGACACTCGCCTAATATCGATATCGATGGCACAGCTTGGCGGTGTCCGAACTGAGCGCCTCATTTCTTGTATCGTGACGATGATGGTAAGAACTCAATTTGGCCCCAGAGAATACGCAGTTATGCAGTGCGTGTCAGTGTTTGACCGAGCCAGTGTGTCGCGACTCCAGCAATTCATGCGGTACCTAGCGGCGATATAGGGAAGCTGCGTACTGAGGTCCAAACAGTCCACGCGCCAGTCGTATACGGTAGAAGCACGGCAGGATGGTGCCGCCCGTGAAAAAAAAAAAGAAAAAACGAACGGCCAAGCATATTTCTTCTTTTCAGGTGAGGCACCACTCTTAACTTGTTAACTCGTAGAAATAAATGACCTTAGTGTCCGGTGACTACATGTCGATGAGGTGCCCGAAGTATGTAAACGAATTTCGCAGAGACGAAGTGCGCCTTGTGCATTACACACACAACGCGATTACTTCAAGAACGCCGCTTGCGCTTGCGGGACCACTGGGGCCGACTAAAACAAGATGCTCCGCGTCAAGGACTCGTTCCCCTTCTACAAAGCAGCGCGAACTGCAACCACACTGCTTGAAACTCAATATTTGTGTTAGCGACAGCGGAACCCGTGAATCCGCCATGCTGCAACTCCGCAGCGCCCTCTCGTCTTCGTTTGAGTTGCGAATACAGTTTAGGCAGCACGGGCGTAGCGAGAGCACTACCCGACCGCGACACGTTATTTGATACGTTATTGGTGACTGTGTGTTACACATACACACTAACACGCGCTAGTGACTGGCCGGTGGCATATATATATATATATATATATATATATATTTTCACTTACATCCTCCGAAGAAGGCTGGTCCACCAGCCGAAACTGTTAGGATTAAATAAATATTTTATTGTTTTGTTTCCTATACTGCACTATTCTCGAAGTTTATCACTTTTATTACGGTAGCCGGAAGAAACTCTGATCATCTATTTCATATATATATATATATATATATATATATATATATATATATATATATATATATATATATATATATATATATATATATATATATACGAGTAAAGACGCTTCATCGATTCGGTCGCATTTTTGTGAACCCCGTTTATATCTGGATGATTCGATCTCACCTATTAAGCACCCGATCACCCGCAACAAGTTGCTCGCCCACATGCGCGCACCGTCACCTTTTCGTCTTCATTCTTTTTTCGTACACAGACTGGAAGGGCCTTTCCAGCGACATCTAAGCCATAACCTGTCCTTCAACATTTGCTTTTTGACCACTTTAACTGGTTACTTTACAACGTAATAAAACATGGCTTTTATTTTTCGTGTAAGTGCCCACCCCCTTACGTAATGCCCCTTCAGTGGGGTCTTTAAGAAGTAAAAATGAAAATGAACTGATGTTTTAGCCACGTGACCACCAACGTAGACACCCTTTGCACACTCATATGGGCGTTGGGTGCCTGTATAGTACTATGACGCTGCCGTTAAGCCTGTGGTCTGTTCTCTTCGAAAATGCATGTATACGTGGTTGCGCAGCTTTCGAACGATGCTCGTGATGCGGCAGTGTTCTGTCGCGGTCATAGCTCGGCATATTCACTCATGAGTACACTCACTCACACTCATTCATACTCATTTGAACGTGGTTAGTGTGAGTATGAGTGAGTAGTGATGAGTAGGAGT